CTTTGCTCTTGACTTGGATTATCCATTGTTAAGGTTTGTGTATTTACATGTTTATATTTCTCCTTAATAGTACGTACCACCTTGATAGTTGTTATCACTGGTTTTGGCGTACGCGTGACTGCTGGATACAGTGGGAGAAGTAAAGGGACGAAACAGTTACTTTTGAATAAACATTTTTACCTTTCATAAAAACAATCACGAACGAATCCAATATTATGATGGGTAGAATTTGATGTCGTTCGTAATATGCAAAGGCTTATGTTACCCCACTCTTCACCCTTGATGCGATTTCTCTGAGGTACTGACTAATTATTAACAAAATGTTCAGATACCATTCAACTCGACATCTTCCGTTTAAATGTGTCCCCTTCCATCTCAGCATTCTCCTTAATTAAAGTGCAATGACGCAGAGTCCGCCTGCCCGACCGGCGCGCGGGAGCGTCATTGACCTTGACTGCTTCCCGCCCCTCGGAATCGTTTGAGAATGCAAACTGGAGGGGCAGAAGATGGGACAGGAAGATTCGCCAAGTTTGCACCGTTTTAATACCGGCAGCCATTTAGATGACCAAACGGTACATCACCAGAAAGTTTTTATGTTTAACCATAAGCTTGTTTTTGTTGACTTGATATATCAGCAATATCTGGAATACATTTCTTGAACACGCAAAAAACTCACTTAAAAAACAGCGCAAATCGACGTATGCCACCTTTATGTTTTGTGGATTGCTTGTTTTTATCATGTCTAGCTACACTTTTCTTTTTTTATAGAAAACGTCTGCCAAGATGATAACAAAGACCGACTTCTATGGTTCGCTAGGATCAGAAATTACATGCTTAAAGCTTCATCGACTGACATACAGTTGGGTATAAGGCTCATAATCATTCGCTTCAAAAAGGAACGCTTGGCAACACCTCCGATCGCCCATTGGTTGCTAGATATTCTTCAGATGTGTGTGCTTCATTGTACACAGGAGTTTTTAGTGGCCATAAACGATATGGAAGTTTTGGAAACATTTCGCGAAGTGCTAACTAACCGCTACGATGATGTCGTCTGCCTGAAGTTGTCTACGCTGTTAAAGGTATTGTCGCCTAGTTCTTACACCCGTATGTCTTTGTAGTCATGGCATGAACAATTCAACTTCGCTTACCCTGATTCGGACTTCAAGAGAACTTGCGAGGTTGAATCAACTCGTGGGAAGCCCACTAATCTTCATTGGTTTCCGAACCGCAATATAGTAGGTTCTTTGAGAGTCCTATTCACAATTTTAAGAAAAAGTCGCTTTGGTTACCGATAGCGGTTTTAAATTAAGTTGCTACAAAAAATGTATATACTAGTTGCAGTTTTACAATCCTGTCCAATTAGAGGTGGTAAAACTAGTGCTGCTGAAGATCGAGCCGAACCGCCCTGTCTCTTTCCGTAAAAAACGCGTCCGTATCCTCAGATATAAAAGGACAGGAGTTTGATGATGACATACTGGCTCAATCACAGACGAATATTGGCCCATGGAAAATTACCGGAAACTCTGACTTTATTTAGTTTTGTAATGATAATAGGTTGCTTAATCCACTGGTATTTTCGCGTGCGACAAGAATCTTCGGGAGCTTTATCCTGCTTCGTTTCGTGCCATAGCGAACTGTTGACACTAGTGGTTGATTCCTCTGTTTTTTAAGTTCTACAGGGACAAAATGACGTCTAGAGACAGAAGAACATACAGAAAGAAACAAGGCAGACTGATTGTGTCCTGCTGCGCATAATGCAAGCCATCACGTGGCTGCGGGTGGGCTCGGGAATTAGCACCGAGGCAAGTGAGCCCGGTCACTGATCTGTGACCGCCCATCCACGAAGATGACTTTTTTGTCCCATGTTTAGAAACCACGTTCCTAGTTCGTCGTTGAAATAAAATGTTAAGTACGCTGAACCAAAAGCGTCATATCCGTTCCATGCCTTTGCCCGTTTGGAATGGATTGGATCAATTTCCACTACTCTTTGAGGATAACCTCTGACACTTGTGAAAATCTGAGTGGCTCTGATGGCATTCGAAACCACGACATCAAAGGCAGGTTCAACCAACGCGCTAAGCACCTAACCTATGAGGCCCCACTGGTGGCCTTGAGTTCAATCAATTCTAGGCCAAGTTATCCACCTCTAAACGAATGCGCCTTTCAGTGCATGCCTCACCTGAAAACTCCCGACCTTTGCCAGTAAGGTCTGCGTCAACGATGCAAACTATTTACCCTTGAAAATATATTTCTTGTGTCGGAAAAGTGCGTAATAAGCTATGATGAATAATCTTATCCCATGAAAGCAATTTGGTGGTCATATATGACCGTGGAGACATTTGCCGGTTCGGCTGCATAAGGCTGCATCATATGTGGCACCTGGAATTCTGTAGACCTTTCATCTTCAATTAAACTAGTCAAACTTGACTCTAGGGTTTCTATACTGGTTGCGCTACGTGTGTTTGATGTTTTCGACAAACTCAGATGTATTGATCACCTATGGATAAATTTTGCGAGCGTCTGGTTTTGACGTCTGGATGGGCGTAGATGTTGAATTACCTTCCTTGAATTGTTGTCGAAACGTTTGCCTTTGTGGGATATGGGATAGGTAGTACCAAATGTTACCGTGTTATTAGGTTTTTCCAATAATATCGGCACGGTTTTCATTAGTCTCCCTTGCTCAGGTAAACAGTGGAACAATGTCATTTTATCCCAGTTAGCTATGCACACATTGGACACAGTACGTGAATTTGTATGGGAGAAAGGCCGCAATGTTCGCGTCTGCCCAACATTGAAAGGCCGTGAATTCCCGGAAACAATGCACTTAAACGAAGCCTGCCTCAATAATCATATAAATTTAGGGGATTGGGCATGCGATTCCGCCAGTGACCTAATGAACGCTGTGTATCTCCTCTGATGGCATTTTGTATGAGCATTCGCAAGCCTTTGGTCGTAGGACAGCATGTTCCGTATTGATTGGAATTACAGTTGCAATAGGGTAATCATTGCTATTTTAAAGCATAATTGGAACTCTGCTCTTTGTTCTGTGAGCTGTAATTAACAATGTACCGTCCCTTTCCATTTTTTTTCACAGATGAACCAGCAGTTAGATTCCGTCTCATATGACCTAGAAGCGGTCAGGAATTACCTTATAGATCACAGCAACACACAACTTAGCAATTTGAACGTCTTCTGCGCTGACCATTATTCCTCCACTGTCGTATGTTATTTTTTAACTTCTTGCTTTCTTTCACACTTATCAATATGACAAGTCAGGCAGTACGTTTTGCAGAATCAGAAAGCATATTAGCCACTTTTACCCTTTCTCAAACTTTCATCTAACCAGCGGGCGAAATTTTACCAAGGTTATTCATTGCCGGTGAGTTTATTATGACAAAAAATATGTCTGCATGATTGTAAAGGAATACGTGCAATCTTCACATTCTGGTAAAGAGTTGGACGAAAGGACTTTGCAGGTTATCCCAAGCAGGTGCATTTTTATTTAAACGATTGAATATTGAGATTCCCGCAGATTTAATAAATATTGTTGACTTTTCATTAATACCGGTGTTGCTGGTAATGTTAAAAGCAGTGCAAGTAGCCGTGGTAATACTAGTATTATTGATACTAGCATTCGTACCACTTGCATCATAAGTCAGTTGGTCGATTTATAAATAGGAAAAAATTGCTTACCTCTTTGAACTCCCTATTTGTCACACCAAAACTCAAGAATTAGAAGCAGTCTAAAGAAATTACGCCATTACTGTCTTAAGAGGCCTATTTTGCAATAGTCTTATAACAAGAACCTACTTTTAGATTTTCAGTAGCCTGACTTTACCTTTTTTCATTATATTCCGCCAATTTAACGTTGTGTTACCACTTTTTCTTTGACTTCACCAATAAAAGGTTAAATTTCCCTCAAAAGACATTATTATACTGAGCTACAGGAGTTTATTTTGATAGATTTGATTATCTTTAGTACATTGAAATAAAAATAAGCTTCTTTAATTTAATATTTTTATCACTTCCACCACACTTAAGTATGCATTTACACTCAATAACCAAGAATTAAATGTTTGACCACGCAATACCTTAGACAACTGGCCGGGGAAATAGATGTATATGGTACCCTGCTAGACAGTTTTGCCGAAATTACAGTCAGTCGAATGTTGACAGAATCACTTCAGAAATTAGTTTTTTTTTGAGGTTAAGTTCAGTTACCTGATGGGTCGTTGCATTTTCCGTCCCATCACTATGACAGAGAGGATGCAGCCTGTTTGCAGCATAGCCTTTGCTGCTGAAAATACTGTGTCGTCTTATGACCGTTAGCTATGGAGTGGACCGCTAATGTCACAGTTCACATTTCGCGTTTCAGACTGATTTTAGGACATTCTTCCACATCTCCGAAAACATGAATTATTCAAAGTTGCCAAAAACAACAATAAATTAAATGAGTCTGGTGGATTAAAGATTAGTTTCATAAGAGATCATACTGGGTCAATTAGGTTAATATATCTGCATTGGTGGATTCTGTACATTATTTTTTGTGTTAGCTAGTTAAATGGACCTGAGTGGAGATCAAGCTCACGGCCCGCGGTGGGTCTTCTTACTTCAGTTATTCAAATACACGACTATAGTCAAGCCATCGTCGTGTTGATGCGATTTCGAATCCCGTAGAGGCCTCCAAGTTGTTTAAACTGATTTCAATTATACTTGAGAGAAAATATTGCAATCAACAACCATATTAATTATTATTCACAACATATAAACCAGCGCTGGTCTTATCTGTGTGAGTGCCGTATTTCCAGAGTTTCAATCAAATAAAAATCAATTTCTCTTAAACTTTAAATCCTAATTTCTTTTGCCAATCCGCAGTGGAAATTGCCGACATGTGTGATCTTTTAGCATCAGCCTATCGGGCAAAAGGGATGATATGTCTTAGGTTCGATCAAGCATACTAACCACATTGCTGTTCCCCTGTGAATTGCAGACTTGACGTAATTAACCGCCCGGCATTATTTATTTGAACTTATTGATTATTTGGTGGCGTTATAATGCAGCCAAAAATGACTGACAGACACGATGATGTTTGTGCGTTTGCATATACCAGCATGGAATCAAAGTGTCGAGTCCGAACATACGAAATACGACAAAAATATACCCCCTGAATGTGGTGTCGTCCAACAAGATGGGCTCAATTTACAGAACTAATGCTATTTTGCGTGGTCCGCGTTTGGCGTAACCTTGTCTATTTAGGCCTGTGAGCTCATCACATTAAATTAATCTTGCATCCATATGTGTGTTCCATTTGGTGTCGATTTACAGCGCAGTTGTCGCACTTTTTCAGGCGAAAGAAGAAGACCCAGAGAAGCAGGCGAATATGACCCTTCAGTTAGTGGAAGCTGATCTGCGGTTTTGGGAGGACATCGTGCAACACACCGGCCTTTCACAGGAATCACTGCAAGGCCTTCGTAAGGTGCAATTTGATGTTCATCAAACAATTAGAAATTTAGAGGTGAGTGAAAGATTTGGAGTTGACTGAAATATTCATTCAGATACCCTCATTATTAATTATGAAGTCTTTGTAAGGCGTATGATCCCAGAATGTTAACTCTGAGCGTCCTTCTCTTGTGCAGCTGCATCAAAGCTAATTTTTGGAATACATATCACTGTAGGGGTGCCCTATAAACATCACCGTAGATGAATCTACGCAACTAACTAATTATTTCGTACAGTTCATTATTTACTTTAGTGTAAATGCTAGTTTAATTATTAAGTTATTGGTTTTGGTTTGGTTTTTATGTTAACATGTTAACGTAGTTTAGTATAGGTTAATTAAGTCTTTGGTTCGTTATTAAGTTGTATTAGTTTTAGTTTAGTCTGTATTTCAGTTGGATAAACGTAGTTTAAACCGCGGGGAACCCTTACCGACATTGCATTATATAGGTTATTCATCTAGAAAAAATAGGATTTTGAAGCAACCAGGCTTGGACACATTTTTACGCCCTAATCCTTTCTTTCTAGAGGAAGCCGGGAACTGTGTCGTCTCGCACGGGTGACCACGGCTCCGCCCTTCGAAGCGACGCATTTCAATTCGAAGGAGGAAACCGCGGCCCTGACCGCCAATCCGCACAACTAGTGAGTATTGCCTCCAAATATCTTCCTTTTTGTAGGCCGCATGAAATATGGTAGCAATGTCATCAAATCTCCCATCCAAGGAGTGAAGTACTATAAAAAAGCGGCTTTGGCTTAGGCTGCTATCTCGAAAGATGTACAAATTGGCACTTGAAGCTACAATGCTTGATCCCAGATTGCTCCGGAGCTAACCTCATATACACACAAATCGTGCTTTATGTCTGTCAAAAAATGCCCTTTTTTTCATAAGGAACGAGGAGAACGGTTTTCTTGCTTAAATAACCAGCTAGGTAGATGTTCCTTGGCTCTGGTTGCCAATTGTCTTTTCATAAACCTCACAGTCTCTACAAAGTCTGTTTTGTTACAGCTTGAGGTAGCCCGAGTGGCAATACAGGTATGCACTTTCGAACTACAATCACAAAAACAATTGATTCCTACTCTTAAATATGATTTTTTTCAAATTTCAATTGAAAACTTGTTGAGTAAGCCCGGTTGATATACGTGAGGACGAAGTACATTGACAAAGAATAGGTTCGTTTCTGTCCCACCTGGTGTTAGGAAACACTACAATGGCCTTTGTTGTCTGCTCAGTATATATGGACTTTTAGTTAGTGCCTGTGCTGGCAGTGTGGCAATAAATGCAAAATATGTCGGCTATTGCAAATACGGTCATTGTTGGATTCATGTTGGACTTCGAAAAATCTGCAACGGGGAACAATTAACCATGGTTGGAAAGCAGAGGAGGGATTTTCATTTAAGCCGCATAAAAGGCGCATAGGAGAGAGTTGACCATAGTTTTCAACTTAAATCCGAACGGACAGTGAGTATTGAGCATTAACTGTCCTATTCATCTCCTGCCTTACCACTCGGTATTAGCCAAAAAAATTGGTTTAGATAGAATACGATGGTCTAAAAGTGATTTGTCTCTCCTTACTCTAAAGTCTATGGCAGCAGCAATCACACTTGCTTGAGAGTTGCGACGGTGCTCGGTTAAATTATCGCACGTGAAAACCGTCCTTCTTCAATTTTACCTAATAAGTTTAGTGTCATTTTCCTCGACCACACGGAAGACTCCTGTGATCGAGGACATGTCTACATCGAAGCCACAGCTTCATGCAAGCAACATCTGGCGGCAAAACTAGTATAAATTCCACGAAATTAACACCGTAGTCTTCTATAATATAGCTAACAAAGGCAGTTATTTTCCTTTCGATGACAACTTTC